CGCCCTGATGCGTGACCCGCGCGCATCTGGGGACTGGAGGGCAGGGAAGCACGCGGGTGACGCGGGTCGCTTTCACCTGTGAAGCCCCCCTTGCGTGCACATGTGGAGATGGCCAGACGCCTTGCTCTCAAGTTCATGGTCTCCTGGAGTATCCATGGAAAAGAAAAGACTTCCATCATCCTCCGGATTCCGTGAGAAGTTCCAGATTCACAGATTCACACTCACACCCCCCCACCCCATCCATCCACAAGATTTAAGATAGCACAGGGGGAAGCCAATTGCTAAGGTGGAGGTGGCCACATTGTTTTTCTTTCTGAAAAAAAAAAATCAGACTTAGAAATAAGAGTCACCTGAGAGATAAGATATCTACATGGAGAGACATGCAGGGAGATGAATCTTGATGAGAACCATTTCAAGGAGAAAAACTGGGAGGGTGGAGAAACTTACCTGGACCAGGTAGAAAACTGGCCAAGGCATTAAATTGTCCTCTTGGTGGCAATTGCCTTGAAAATACATGCTATGATGGAAATGCATCAGGGTGGATACGATACTGATGGAAACACTCGTGTTTACAACTGTGTGCACCAAGGCAAAGTGCAAACAAATGCCAGGAAGCCCTACTGTGGATGGAAGTTAACCTTCCTTTTGGGGTAGCCTGGGGTTCTGCTTGGGCAGGTCGTAGAGGCATTTCTAACCCTCAGCTGCCCCATTCACAACCCCCCTATGGCCCTTTAGCATCTCCTGGGGTAACAATCTGTGGCTAATACAGATAACATTTTGGGGTTCTCTGCAAGGTCTAGAAGAGCCTCTTACCCCCACACAGAGCTTGGGACAGCCCTGCCCTAGCTCAGGTTGTTCAGATGCTGCTCAAGGGATTGGTGCTTGACACCAGGATCAGGGGGCCTTCTGGACCAGGTTGGAGAGGAGCTGCCTGGCAGACCCTGCCTCCTGGCTGGAGGAATGGGAAAGATACACTGAGGACAAGGATTGGGAGCAACAGAAAAGCTGTTTACCAAATCGTCTGGGACGGGCTGTAAGAGCAGCAGCAACTGCTGACTTCGCACAGTGGGAAAGCAGGTTGGGGAAGAGGCCACCGGCTACCTCTGGCCCCCAAGCACGTCTTGCTCTACCTGATGCCCCATGTGTGACTGCTTGATTTCTGCCCTCTTCCCTCCCTGCTTCTCCTTTACTAACACAACCTGCCACGTTTTACACATGTGTTGGTAAGTGAGAAACAAAACGTGAAAAATAAATTAAAATGAGCAGTGTCTTGTCTTTATGCTTTTCACTGGATTTGTCTTGCCACATGGTGCCTTGTTTCTAAGGAATTTGGGGGGTGTTCTAGAGCAAGGCCCTTGGCCAGTCCTCACCCCTGACTTTCCCTTTTAGCTTGTGTGATCCTTGTCCAGGGAATGGGCATATGCAATAAACCCTCATGGGAGGGACAGACCAGAAGGTAGATGCTTGGGGAGGCAGGTTTCAGCACCTTAGAGTCCAGATGTGGTGTAAAGTGCTGGGGTGGTGTGGAGCTTGCCACTGTTGGAAGGCCACTTGGGGAGAGGGAGTCATGAGGCCTGGTGTCCCCTCGCAGCCCTGAGTCCTTGATTCCCCCCACCAGGGATGGAGGATTGAATAGGGTCTTTGCACTGAGCTCCATCCACAGCCCTCTTTTGAGACAGGGTCTTACCAAGCCACCAAGCCTCAGCTCTCCAGAGTGTTGGGATTACAGGCATGTACCACCATGCCCAGCTCCCTGAAAGTCCTGGATTATTAGATTTAGCTAGCCAAATCCCCTTTGATCCTTTTTGGCCACTCTTGTGTTCCCCTGGCCCCAACTTTCATTCACAACTTCACTAGGAGATGGACCTTGGGCTGCTGGAGCCTCTTCGACCCATGTATGTAGAAAAGCTGTATGTCCCTAAGGAACTACCTCCCCTTGTCAACCTTTAACCCATTAGAATAGTTATGCAGGGACAAGCCAAGCCAGTCAAGATGGCAGGGAAAGGGCTTGCCTGCAGGATCTGATCAAAATTCTTAGGGTTTACATTTGAGACTGTGTGTGTGGTACTAGGGATTTAACCTAGAGCTTTTCCACTAAGCTACACCCCCAGACCTTTTTATTTTTTAGTTTTGAGATAGGGTCTTACTAAATTGCCCAGACTGGGCTTGAACTTGTGACCTGTCTGCCTCAGCCTCCCAGAGTTCTGGGATTACAGGAGTGCACCACCATACTGGCTTGAGACCACTTTTGCACCCTTGCTTTGCCTCCTTCCCTTCCCTGTCCCATTCTCTCACTCTGACACCCCTGGGAGCAGGTCCTGCCTCAATTTCCCAGGCCCCTGGGGAAAGGACTGCATCTGCACAGGGAGGGTCAGGATTTCTCACCAAGGATGGGGCAAGATTCAGCTGCAGGAACCAGGAGACCACACCAGCATGGATGCTGCTCCCACCAAGGAGCTAGAGCATGCAGGGGAGGGGGCCACAGCCTCTTCAGAAAGCTCAGCAGGGGCTCTTCCCTGTGGAAGGTCAGGGCTCACTCTGGAGGTGCACTCATAGAACTGGACTCTCTCATGTCAATGAAGATGGCAGGATCCTGGACTAGCATGGCTGGCCACCAGGGCAAAGTGGACACAACTACAGAAGTGGGCAGTAAGGACCTCTTGAGAGTGGCATCCAGGAGCATATACCCAAGGGGGGTCTTTGGTGGTGTGTAGTGACCATGGTGCTTCCAAGACCAAGAGGGATGGGTAGCCAGCTACTAGGGCATTGTTTGACATACACATCCCACAAAAAAAGTTGAGTGACCATGAAGGACATTGTTAGCTTTCCCAGTGGAAAGTCACAATGCCTACCAGTTTCTAGATCTGAGAGTGTTTCCAGATCCAGAGGAAGTGGGTCCTCACAGAAGAACTTTATAAGTCTACCGTCTAAGTAAACAGAGATAGCAGTGATTCCTTCAACTCTTTCCCATAGGGCCTGCAGCCACTTACCCCAGTGACATTCACCATGGAGATGGGATGTCCCTATCAGGGGCCCTGACCTTGCAAGGGTAAGGGTTTCAATCACCCACTTAGACCAGACCCCCTCCAGCAGAAATGCTGAAGGCTGGGAGTGTAGAACAGGGCGGAGAGGCGGGGGGGGGCAGGTCAGTTATGACCCTAATGGACAGTGCTTCTCTTCTTCAGTAAGTGTTCCCCACTCAGAGTAGAATCAGCCTGAGATGAGGGCTGGACTACATTGGTGAGAGGAGCTGGGCTAACATTGATTCTGTGTTCCACAGCTCACTGGGTGGAGCCTCTGGGTAGGTGCGTGGACACCCCAAGCCCACCCTGGATTTAGCAGCCCACAACTGTACCTCTTCCACACATGCAGCCAGAAATGCCGGAGGGTAGCTGTTCCTGAAGTGGTGTCTTTGGAAGACCCAACTACCTCACCTGAGTCTGGGACAACTGAGGCATCCCTTCCACCCTGGTGTGGATCAGGTTTCCTCAGTGGCAGCTGCCCAGAGCCTCTCATCCTTTCTCCCCTTTCCTGACTCATGGCCCCCTCTCTCATTATGCTTCCTAGAATGCCCATTTGTGGTTCTGGTTAAGGTCAGCCATACCAGGGTGCTTGCTTTGGGCAAAGAGGATGGACAGCATAGAAGAAGACAGCTGTCAATGTCAGGTGTGATCACGTGATCCGTTACAGACCTGCGGGCTGTAATGGTTATGAGTAGTTTGGACTTATGTTCATATGAATCTATTTGTTTATGTGTTAACTACTTTTTCTATCTCCCTCTCTCATTTCCCAAATGTCTAACATAAAGTGTACTCATCATGGTTATGTATTTATTTAATTTGTGGTACTGAAGATGGAACCCAGGATCTTCTCACTAAATTACATCCTGAGCCCTTTTTTATTTTTCATTTTGAGACAGAATCAGACTAAGTTGCCTAGGTTGAGCATGAACTTGGGATCCTCCTGTCTCAGCCTCCCTTCCTCAGCTGGGGTTACAGGTGTGTGCCACCACACCTGACTCCAGATAACTTTATATCTCAATATTCAAGCTGAAGGAAATTTATTTAAGAGGTAGTGGTCTCATTTAGAAGAGGAATTGCATCATCCAAAGACAGAGAAAGGAGCTTTGTGTTCTCTTTGAGGAAAGAACCCTTGTGGTTTTGTTTGCATCATGGGAGGTGGGTTGGTGGCTTTATTTGGAGGTTAAGTATGATTTGTTACTTTGGTTTCACACATACTACTGGCTGTTTTGTGCTCCATTTCCATCAGTTTTCTGCCTTAGACTTTAAAAATCCCCTACGGCCAGGTGTGGTGGTACAGGTCTGTAGTTCCAGTACTCAGGAGGCTGAGGTAGGAAGATTGCTTGAGCCCAGGAGTTGGAGGCCAGCCTGGGCAACATGGTGAGACCCTGTCTCAAAAAAATAAAGCAAACAAACAAACAAACAGAAAATCTCCTATGGAACCACCTATGTGGGGGTTTCATGGGAGAAAGAAATCTGATTATGTAGTCAGGGAGCAGTGCCTGCTCTGACTTGCCAGTGCACTGACATGTCCAGTCCTCATAGCTGAGCCGCTGCCTAGGAGCCAGTGTGGTGGTGCTGGGCCACAAAGATTCTACAGTGTCCCAGCTCCTTGATTCCCACTCATGCACTGGGAAATGTAAAAGCAAAATGTAGAGACCAGAGCATCAAGAAAAGGGTTTTTATAGCTGGCATGGTGGTGCACACCTGTAATCCCAGCCATTCAGGAAACTAACAGGCAAGAGTCTAACAAGTCAGAGGGCAGCTGGGCAGCACAGTGAGACATTGTCTCAAAATAAAATAAAAAGAGCTGCTATTGTCTATGCTGTAGGGTATCCTGGGGTTGATCCCTAGTCCCCCCACCACAGAGGGAGAGAGAGAGAGAGAGAGAGAGAGAGAGAGAGAGAGAGAGAGAGAGAGAGAGATACTTGGGAAGAAAACAGTCCAGACTGCAAGGCTGAGTCACCAGTGAAAAAATACAACAGGAGTTTTTTTTTTAATCTCATACATTTACTAAGAGTATATTTAGTCTTAATTTCTCATAAAATTATTATGTATGTAAGGATTTGTATATGTTAAGCAAAAGATTGTTTTTTGTGGGGGAATCAGAAAAGGGCTCAAAGTCTTATTTTAGAGACCAGAGCTAGACAGAGGGATCCAAGTATGAATCCTTCCTGCCCCCTTCTGGAGTGTTCAGGCATAATAATGGTCAAAGGGCTTTCTTGGCAACTAGGTAGATATTTCTTTGGGCTGCACTTTGGGCTACTTTGTGCCTTTTTAGAGGTTTTTCTGTTCCCTGAGGCCTGGCCCCAAAAGGCTTATGACAAGGTACAGACATCCTTGTCCCACTACCCCATCCTCATATCTCCTCCTTCCTCTCTAGTTTTTTCCAATTATTTGAGTTGTTTTCTCTAATATTTAGACTTTAATTTCCCCTTTCCTTTCCTTTCCTCTCTCTCTATCCCTCTCCTCCCTCTCAGTCTCTCCCCTCCCTCCCTCCCTTCCTTCCTTGCTTCTTTCCTTCCTTCCTTCCTTTTTTTCCCCCCTGAGGATTGAAACCAGTGTCTCTACACTGACCTACATTCCCAGCCCTTTTTAATTGTTTACCTTGGAGACAAGGTCTCAGATGGGCTCAAACTTGTAATCCTCCTGCCTCAGCCTTCCAGAGTTCTGGAACTACAGGCATGGGCTGAAACACCCAGCTTCATAACTTCTCAGCAGTACACCTATATTCCATTTCTTGACATTATTTGAGGCATTATCTATTACCTTCCTGAAGTTGTAGACAAGGATTTTAGACTCTCCTTCAATTTCCTCTCCTGTGTCTATTTATTTTTGGTAGAAATAAGCAAGTAATTAGTGGTGCAATAATATATAAATACAAACCAATTTTGAATAATGTGATTTTTAAAACTGTTCACTAATGATGTTTGATTCTTGCTTCCAGCAGTGTGGCTGGCTGGTCCCCAGGCCAAGTGACCATGGGGGAACTCAGAGCAGGCATTAGGTTGTCCACACTAGGGGAGCTGCCAGACCAGCCCCAGGCCATCACCCCAGGATATCCCAACACAAGGACAGTGACACTGCTGCTCAGTTGGACTTTCCTGATACTGCTGAACTCAGTCCTGACAGATTGTCCCAAATTCACTAGGAGAAGGAAGTGATTTTAAAGCAGTTTCATTAAAGTAAGAGGCAAGAAATCTAATGGGCACTAAAGAGGAGAATACAGATTTTTGCCACTAATACAATTCCTGTGTCTCAGCTGGGTGTGGTGGCACACACCTGTGATCCTAGTACTCTGGGAGGCTGAGGCAGGAGGATGGCAAGTCTGAGCCCAGCCTACTCTTAAAGTTAAAAAAAAAAATTGTAAAAAGGGCTGGGGATGTAGCTCAGTGTAAAGACCCTGGGCCCAAATACCCAAAAAATAAAAAATAAAACAGTAAATTCCACACCTGTGGTATGTGTCTCTAAGTAGTTTTTAGGGGGGAATATTTAAATGTGTTCATGAAATAATTCACCAGGGGTGTCGTGGCCCAATCCCTACCCTAACCTCCCAGACTCCCCTGGGAAGGCCATGTGGCCAGGAAGGAGTGGCCAAGAAGCTCCCTTGTGCACCAGCCTTCTGTGGCTTGTCTGTATGCACACATCAAATAGGGGAAGTACCAGGCCTCTGAACCTGTTTGCAACCTGTGAGGCCTAGGACATCTCTTTCCACACATGCAGGCTTCTGGCTGGCCTTGAGTCCCTATCAGGGTCTGGCGCTTTGGCTGGGCAGAGCTTACTCCAACTCAGCTCCCAGGACTAACACAGCAGCTGTCTCCTCCTACAGGAAGCCTTCCTGGCCTGCTCCTAGGCTCCCATGCCATAGAGCAGCAAAGGAGCCTGAAACAGAAGGGTGCTGACCCAGGTCACATGCCCAGAGTGGGCAGAGAGCAATAGTGCCACTCTGAAAACAAAACAAAACAAAACAAAACAAAACAAAAAAACCAGAGCTGGCCAATAGTTAAAGTGCTACAGACCAATTTAATACAGGCCTACTGCAAGAAGGCGAAAGAGACCTCAGTGTAGAAGCAGGCTCAATTCTGCAGGGTGCAGGCAGGTGTTGGTGGATGGAATACTGTTAAGCAAGAGGGATTCTGGGTGGACAGGGTAAAGACACTTGTGAAGGCAGCCGTGGTGAGCAGACATCACCTGGGGAGGGTAGGAGATGAGGGATTTGATTAGGCATTGAGACTGAGGTTCTGGTTAAACTGACTTGACAGGATTTTTACTATAATCAAGCAACACAAAGATGGCATGGAAGTTCAAAAGTGGAGAGCAAACTGCAAAGAGCCCCAGAAGAACCTGCAGTCTGGGGGAGGAGAGAGTCACCAGCCCCTTGGTCCTTCCCTGACTGCAGTAGAGACCTCTCCCCCGCCTCTGCCTGTTCTCTATTTCATTGCAGGGAGTTGGACTTGGCCCAACCCTGCGTGGTGGACACCTGTCTGCGTGCAGGTCAGGAGGGAGCTATGTGCCCCCTCCAGATTACTTACTCCCAGCATGCCCTGAAGCCATCTGGCTGAAAGATGGTGACAGGCTTGGTGCTTGAGGGACACAGGCATTGCAGGGAGACTGAGGCAGGAAGGACTGCCTCCTTCTGGAAGGACAAGGAATGGGAGGGAGGCCTCGTCTTTCACAGTGGTGTCAGGAATCCCACACGGCCACATCCCCTTAGGATGTTCCTAAGGGGACAAATCTCACTTCTGTCACCTTGTCATCATCCGCCTAGGTCACCTCAAAATCTTTGGATTGCTCCCTGCCACTCTCCTGCCATTTCCTCATCCATTTCCTCCCTGCTACCTCTGGGTCCCTGGGACTTTCCCCAAGCTCCACCTCATGCTCTTCAGTCAAGCCAAGTTTCTGCTGACCCACCATGTCCCAGTTTCTGGCCACCTTTCAGGCCTGGCAGAAATGCTACCCCTCTTGTGATGGTATAGGGACCATGACACCTCTGCTTTTTCTTTTTGTTGGTACCAGGGATCAAACTCAGGACCTTGCACTTGCGAGGCAGGCAGCAGAACCACTGAGCCAAATCCCTGGCCCCGACCTCTGCTTTTTCTTAGCCCCTGACCCACAGCACTCAGGCTACCACCTCACTATCAGGATTTGGGGACTTGCTCCACCTCGAGCCTGATGCCTGGAAGTAGCAGCTGTATTCCTCACTGCTGAGTCGTCCCTCCAACTCCAGAGCAGCTGGGGACACTGGGCCAGAGCTCAAGTCAAGGGTGGGTGAGCAGCTGCTGCCCTCCTACCCCAGCCTGCCTCTGCCCATGTGCCCTAAATTGAGGGGAAGATGGCACGTCCAGTATGGGCATCTGTCTTTCTTGTTCCTGCTTTTTCTTGCCCTCCCCATAGTGCACAGGCTCATGTAGGCCTTGTCCCCATGCAGGTGGCCAACCTGCTCTCCTCTCCAGCGATGTAAGCAGCTGGTGGCAGGTAGAAGAGGCCCTGTTGTGGTCCAGCTCACCTTCCTCACTTCCTCCCCAGTAGGAGCACTGTCTACCTTTAGTTAAACATGGGGTGGGGAACAGTTCCCTTCCCTTCCTGTGCTCTAGCCCATCAGTGCCTGGCAGGGAGGCAAGTAATGGGCAGACCTTGGGCATATCTGCAACCTGGCCCATCAACTAAATAAGTGGCATCAAATTCTACTCTAGTTTCCTATCATCTGCTATAGAGATACCAACACCTTGTACGCACTTACAATCATTATTACTATGCTTTATTACTGCCAAACAGGATCATACTTTTATTTTTTTTCATTACTGGGGATTAAACCTGGGATTGAGCTACATGCCCCACACCCCACTCCATCTATTTTCTTTTTCCTTTTTGTGACAGGGTCTCACTATATTGCTAAGTTACCCAGGCTGGACTGGGATTTGCTATCCTCCTGCCTCAGCCTCCCAGAATGTTGGAGGTGTTCACCACCCTGCTTCGCTGGATCATACTTTTGACTCTGGGGCAATCCCATGAAAAATTAGGGTGTCGTGAGGTCCATCCCCAAGTGTGGGGGCTGGGCCTTAGCCCAGCCTGGACAGATGTGCTGGTTCCCACGTTTCTCTAGGGTGCCATGAGCCATCTCACTCTTGTGGATCCCTGCCTACTGACATCCCATGCCCCTCCCACACCCCTGGGGCCCCCATTAGCTTTCTTATCTCTCTCCCCACCTTTTGCAGCTCTGCTATCCCCCTTCTGGCTGTCACATCCCTTTGCACATAATCCTTAGAGCAGGGTGAACCATGTAGCCCCAATTTGAAGGTCTCCCCCCACCCCACTTTGCTTCACAGCAGGGCCTGAGCGCCTCAGGAAACTCAGGGAGAGAGTCAGGGTCCATCACACAGCAGGTGCAAGGCATGGGATTTGTCCTACTGAGTGAAGCGAAGGCAGCAGTGTGTTGTACTTGTGCATGTGCATCGACTGGGAGTCTAGGCATAAAGTTGCAAGTCTTGGAGGGAAGGAGAGTAGGGTGTGCTTTGGGTCCTAGAAACTACAGGAAGGGGCAGCCAGAGAGGGCCAGTGACCAGGACCTACCTGGGACTGGGAGGTTCATGAACCCCAAATAGTGGAGCCACATTGTGCTTCAGGAGCATGAGCTATGCACAAGCACTTCACACAGACACTGTGGGGTTGGGGCAGGGGGTAGGCAGGCCAAACCTGAATCCTGGGTCTCTCTGTGCAGAATCTGGCAGGGACCTCCCTGGGGCAATGCCTACAGGCATCTGGGGCACCACCTCTAGACTGAGGGAGTCAGAAGGTTCAGGGTCAAGGACATGGGTCAGGCAAGCATGGGCCACGCGAGACAGCTATGCACTGCCCCGAGCAGGGACAAAGATGACGCCGGGCCTGGGGGAGAGTTTTGTGCCCAGACTCAGCCAATCTGAAGTGGTTGGCAAGGCTCACTGCCCAGAATCTGATGCAGGCCAGAGAATGCAGAGGTGATAGAAGGGACCATTCAGGGTTGAATGACAGGAAAATGTATCTGAGCATAAAACAAACACAGATCTGGGGTCTCCTATCTAGTGGCTTAGGTTTTTTTTGTTTTTTGTTTGTTTTGAGACAGGGTCTCACTATGTAATTGAGACTGACCTGGGACTCACTATGTAGCTCAGGCTGGACTCGAACTCACAGCGATCCTCCTGCCTCAGCCTCCCAAGTGCTAGGATTACAGATGTGTGCCACCATGCTCGGCTCTAGTGGCTTAGGTTTTTTTTGTTTTTTGTTTGTTTTGAGACAGGGTCTCACTATGTAATTGAGACTGACCTGGGACTCACTATGTAGCTCAGGCTGGACTCGAACTCACAGCGATCCTCCTGCCTCAGCCTCCCAAGTGCTAGGATTACAGATGTGTGCCACCATGCTCGGCTCTAGTGGCTTAGGTTTAATTCTCACAGAATGGTGGGTGGCTCACCTAAGCATTCTGCCCTGGAAATCATCAGGCTGGGGCAGGGGACAGGTCACCTTGGGGATGACAACCCTAATTTTGACCCAGGATGCATCAAACTTGGTAGACAATGGGGCCTTTTACTGACTGCCCCTCAGTGTCATGAATGAAATGAACTTTGCAAACTGTGCATCATGGGCAAGGGGAGGAGAGATGACCCTCAGAGATGGGGATGAAACCAAAGGATGTGGGGGCCATAGCCTCTCTGCTCAGCCTCCACCCTAAGGAATTATTACAGATAGAAATTAATATGCAGTCAGAGAAGGACTGGGCCCTCAAGGAAGTCAGCACAAAAAATAAAGACAGAATTTTGGCTGGATGCAACAAGGCCTCAGGACGGAGAAGCAATAGCCAGGCCTGCATGCCTCCTTAGTGAACAATACAACTTGAGATTATACTGGAATTAGCACCCCCCCTGGTTCAGGGGGCCCACATAGGCATCAGACCCATAGGTGGATGATCAGAACATATGGACTCATACTCCCCTCCCTTCTCAAACATGCTTTTGCTCTTTCCACATATTTTTGCTGCATTACTCGTTTCCCTATTGGATCAATAGTAGCTAAGTGGCTATGCTTGTAATTCTATAGGTTCATTATAGTTTGACCCACATTAAACCCACATTGTGACTTTGCTGTATAAATCACCCCTGACAAAAAGCCTTGGTGGCCACCCATTCGGGACCCCTCCTGGAAATCCAGGAGCTATTCTTCCCTTTATTTCCTATAAAACTCTTAACTTCCTCCTTTGGTTCATGACTTTATTCCCGGACACTGTGAGACCATGAACTCGGCACATCTGACATCTAACAAGTAGGGAATTAAATTTTTCCTATATCAGAAGGACCATTAGCTGAGCAGGAGACTCAGGTACAGACAGACTGGAAAGGGGGTGACCTGGGAGTCCTAATAGATTCCTTCAAAACCTCTGTTGAGAAGGGAGGGAGAACAAATGGAGACTTGGGTACAGAGCAGGCAAGGACAGGTCCAGGAAGATCTCAGGATTTGCTGGGTGATGTGGGGTCCCTGCTCGACAAGGGGGAGAGTTCCAAGGCAGAGACTAAGCAGCCGATTCGCTCTTATGGGCCCTCCCTGCATTTTTCTCTACTTGGCTCTGGGCCCTGGAGACTGACCCCAGCAGGCTGCATCCCCTGGCTCCCTGCCCGCAATTCCAGGTGGGTTTGGCCAAAGGACAGTGTGGGCAGGTAACAGGGTGTGGGAGGGCAGGGTCAGGGTCTTCTCTTTGCCCCACCCTCACTGTCCCTGTACAGTAACAGCTCCCACCAAGTGACCCTGACTCCAGACCTCCAGCTCACTGCAGGCTGGACAGCATTCTACCCTTTCCTCTCCTTCAGGCCTAAGGGTGGTAAAGGCTGTATCTCCACATTCCAGTGTTTTGGTGTTTCTCTTTAGCTGTGCCACTGCTCTTTGTTAATGGTTAATTTTCCTACCTCCCCTTCTCTGGAAATGGGAGCCCCCTGGGGGAAAATGCTGCTTCCTGCTGAGCCTGCCACATAGGGTAGGAAGGGTCTAAGCTAGGAGTCCAGGGTTTGCAAGCTTGGATACCCACAAGACCAGACAGAGGGTGCCATGTGGAAGTGGCCTGGAGAAAAGTGGTGAGGAATGGTAGCCACAGAGGACAATGGCAATGCTCAGACCCACCCCATGGGCTGGTCATTCCTCAGGTCCTCCTGGCCAGTTTCCTGCAAACCAGACCTTGTGTTGCCAGAAATTCAAGGTAGTTTTTTTTTTTTTTAATTGTTGTTGCTGTTGTTTGTTTTGTATTGGGGAATTGAACTCAGGACCATTGTACTGAGCAAATCCCAGACTTTAAAAAAAATTTTTTTTAAATTTAAATTTTGAGACAGAGTCTTGTTAAGTCACTAAATCGCCTAGGCTGGGTTTGGATTTTCAATTCTCCTGCTTCAGTATTCCAGCATGCTGGGATTACAGGCAGGCACGATGAAGCCCAGCTCAGAATCTTAGATTTTTCACTTTTTTTTTAAAGTAGAAGTTGGACTCTCAATTTTCAAATGTTAATAATTTAAAAATATTTAAAAACATCAATAACCCAGTATATCACATACTCAGGAGCAGAATGGGCAAGCTGGAGCCTGGAATGGGCAAGGCTTTGGAGAGCAGCACTGTCTGCAGAGACCTGAGTGTTTCCTTAGCCTGAGAAGCTCACAACAGGAGTTGAAGTTCTTTTTTTAGACAGGGTCTCACTATGTACTTCGGGCTGGTCTTAAACTATGTAGCCCAGGGTAGCCTTGAGTTCATGGCAATCCTCCTGTTCCAGCCACCTGAGGGCTTGAATTACAGGCATGTGCCATCATGCCCAAGCGCTGAAATTCTTGATGGAGAAAATCAATTCCGGGAAGAGAGGGGCTGCCCTGTCTTGAGGGTCTAAGTACTAAAAGTAATGGTTCATGTGGGGTGGAAGCTGGGGAAAGAGCCCCGGGCCACAACATTCCTGCCTAAGTAAAGGCCGTGGACTTCTGCGGGTGCCAGGGCTCACCATCAAACCCCACCTGTGTCCCCAGACAGGATGTGGGAGGACTGTGAGTGGTCACTGAATCCAGGGACCTCCCCTTACCCTAGATTTTATCCCGGATTGTATCACTTTTGCCTCCTGCCTCTGCTTGTACCGCTCTTTCCTCCCCCTGGTGCAGACCACACGTACCTCCAACTTCGGCCTCAGCAACCCAAAGGCCTTCTTACATTTGGCTACAAAGGAACCCTGTCCTTGCACGAGCCTGTGCACCTGCTCCCACCCGCGTTGGCCCGGTGCATTAACAGTGGTCCCGGAAAGAGGTGTGGCGGAGCTGTGGGACATGGCCCAGCTGCTCCTCCATTCTCTAAGAGTGATGAGCCCCTCCACGCCCTTTGCCTACATCAGGGTCTGGCAACACCGCCGGCCTGATCTCCCTCAACATGGGGGTCGCCTCCCAGCTACAAGTGGTGGGCTCCGGGAGTCTTGTGGACAGGAATGGTCCTCAAGAAGCGCTCCCGAATTCCGGAGAGAGAAGGCCGGCTGGGTCTGGAAGAGGGGGTACTTCGAGGGGCTGGACCCCCGTGTAAGTCCCAAGGGGCAGCCGACGGGGAAATTCGGGGGTCTGAGTCTCACGCGCGTCTGGGGCTCAAGCCCGCTGCACCCCGCTCTCGGCACCCGCTCTCCCGTGAGACCCCGTGTGACCGGAAGTGCTCCCCCCGTGGGCACGAGCGGGGCGGGGCCGGCGGGCGGAAGAGGGGGTACTTCGAGGGGCTGGACCCCCGTGTAAGTCCCAAGGGGCAGCCGACGGGGAAATTCGGGGGTCTGAGTCTCACGCGCGTCTGGGGCTCAAGCCCGCTGCACCCCGCTCTCGGCACCCGCTCTCCCGTGAGACCCCGTGTGACCGGAAGTGCTCCCCCCGTGGGCACGAGCGGGGCGGGGCCGGCGGGCGCGG